CATTAAGATGAGATGATATTGGATTAGGATGGGCCCTAAATTCAACAACTGGTGTTATTGGAAGAGAGGGACAGAAACAGAGGAGACACACAAACAGGGGAAAAAGTCTTTGAACACCAAGAGAGAGATTAGAGTGATGCAGCTACAAACCACAAAATGCCAAAAATGGCTGGGAGTCACTAGAAGCTAGGAAGAGGCAAGGAAGGATTCTTCCCTAGGGCCAGCTGAGAGAGTGTGATGTTACCGATACTCTAATTCAGAGATTTAGCCTCTGGAATTGTGAGAAAATAAATTTCTGTTGTTGGAAGCCTCCAGGATTATGGTATTTTGTTACGGCACCCCGGACACAATGCATGTGCTTTTACAGATGATCCCTAGAACTCAAGGAGAGGGTGATTAAAGGGAGACAGCGTGGGAGAATGGGAAGAGGTGATATTTCAAAAGGTAACATTCCATTCAAGCACGCTGCTTTACCAATTGGTCCATTCAAGTTTACCCTCTGCACTGTGTCTCTCTCTAAAATGAAAACTCTATTATCTTCTATTCCAGAAGAAAACAGACAAAAACAAACATTAGCCTTGGATTTATACCCTACTTTGGCTGTGATCCTAGCTTTTCTTTCTTTTATTTGTTTTCCCAGCCAGGTATGTTGAAACAGAAGTTCAAAATATTTATTTATTTTTTTAGTTTTAAAAATGTATCTTTATTGTTGAAAGTATTACATGTCCCTCCTTTTCCCCCCATTGGCCCCTCCACCCTGCTCTTGCCCCTCCCCCAGGCCTTTATCTCACTATTGTCTGTGTGTGGGGGTTATGCATACATACAGATACATTTTTTGGTTTATCTTTTCCTGTCCCCTCCCCTCACCCCACTTCCCTCTGATTTTCATCAGTCATACTTCCATGTCTCTGGATCTATGTTGTCTGTCAGTGTATTTTGTACATTAGATTCTACATATAAGTGAGATCATATGACACTTGTCTTTCTCTGACTGGCTCATTTCACTTAGCATAATATTCTCCAGGACCCTCCATGCTGTCTCAAAGGGTAAGAGAGACTTTCTTTCTTACAGCTGCATAGTATTCCATTGTGTAAATGTACCACAGCTTTTTTTACCCACTCATCTGCTGATGGGCACTTGGGCTGTTTCTAGATCTTAGCTATTGTAAATAGTGCTGCTATGAACATAGGGGTGCGTATATTCTTTCTGATTGGTGTTTCAGGATCCTTAGGATATATTCTTAGAAGTGGGACGACAGGATCAAATGGCAATTCCATTTTTACGTTTTCAGAAAACTCTATACTGTTTATTTCCCAATTTTACTAATCTCTACTCCCTACGATTTGATTTTGGCCACTACACTTTAGGTGAAGGTACATATTAACAAAAATATTTCAACTCTAAAAACGTCAACAGGTCTCTTACATTCTAAAGAACCTTATCTAAACCAGACTCAAAATAAAATAAAATATGTCCTCCATGTTTTTGGCACTTAAAAATAATGCACAAAGACTTAAGCAACCAAACTATAAGGGGAAACAACTGTTATTAAAAATTGAAAGATAAAGAAAAATTAAAACATATTTTATTAATAAAGTAGGGTATTTTAAATCTAAAAATCCAATTGAAATAGTTTAATTGTATAGAATAAAGTGAAATATCAATGTGTTATCTAATGAACCTAGAATTATTATTTTTCAAAGTATATAAAACAACTAGAATCCTGCAGAATGAATATTCCCAAAATGAACGTAATATCTGAAATTCAACTGAAATCCAATGATGCTCATGAGAGTATTATAAATGACAGTTCTCTTATTAAGAAAAAAATGAAAGGGGAATTACTCACAGACAAATAGTGTTCACTCAATCAACCAGTAAAGTGGAGCCACATATGTGCACATTTAACTTACATGAATTAAATTCTACACAAGGCAAAGATTAATGGAAATCATTTGGTACCACATGACCTGTATGAGAAACTTGCCCATCTTGTTTTATCTGAAGAAACTGCTAAGTATTCTGACATTGGAGGAAAAAGGTCCTGCTAGAATTACTCACAGACAATAAGGCTTGTGCAAAATCATGTAGATGATCTTTCATGGGAGAGTTAAGGTATTTCATGGGTAATGACTATATATGATTTTCCTCTCACATAACAACTTCTGAAGCTTACTCAATGTAAAAAATGCATTCCCAATGAATAAACTGAGCGTATTTGACCGATATTATGTTAAATGATTTTCAAAATAAACTTTTAAGAGTGTATATATATTCAGCATATAAAAGATGCAGAAGAAGGCATGATTGTAATTTAGGATAAATGACCGAAAAGGAGAAAATAGCAAGAAGTGATATGTTATCAAGTGATACTTAAAAAACTTAAAAAGTCATAAAATACAGCCTAATGTGGCAACAGAAAGAAATTATAGCAGAGTGAGCGTGAGAGGAAGCAGAAGCAAATCAGGGATTTTATTTGTAGAGACCCAGTGACTATTGCTTGATTATCTCACAGTAAGTGGGCTGAGGTAAAGCTAAGAAGATGTCAATGATCAGTGTTTATTTAATTCTGTTACTCTGCTCTCAGACTTGAAGGAATCTTTAAGTAACTGGTTATCCACTGGAGATGTGAAATACAAAATATTGGTTTTTGTGCTTTAATTACATAATATAAATGTTTTATTGTAGCCATGCTACTCATAAGACCCTAGTCCTATCTAGCAATCCAGGTCATTGTATTTCACCTTTGGGGGGAGAGGGGGTCTATGAATGTGAACATAAAAGTGTATATGTATGTGCACATGTGTGTATATGACATTATGTGTTATTATGATAATCACTTAAATTATATTACTTAATTACAAAATAGTTCTATGAGGTAGACATTTACCATCTCTAGATCATAGACGTAAAAAGTAAGGCTCAGGCTGATTATGTGACTTGTCCAATGAAAAAGAACAAATTGGGTTGGGCTCTTACTCTAGAACTAGCATTCGTAATTAAGCATAATAGCACTGAGCGTGAACTATATGAAACATACTTCATATATATAATCTCATTTATTCCTCACAACCACTCGACTCTGTAGACATAATGACCCTCATTTTGCAAGTGAAAAAACTAAGCCTCAAAGAGATTACATAATTGTCCAAAGACAGAAAACTAAGATGTGCTAGGCTGACATTAGAATCCTAGTCTCTTTAACTTTATATGTAGTTTAAAATAAAAATATTATGCAACATTTACAAAAATAAAATCAACTTTCTTCCTAATAAATTAAAGTATATTTGACTTTATCCACAAATAATCCAAGATTTATTTTTAAAAATTAGTGTTAAAAACCACTGATCATTAGTTGTACTATTTTTACATTAAAAAGTAAATTCACTTTACATTAACCCTGTTAAAATACAGATTCCATTCTTGAGAAATCTGTTCACATAGTTTTATGTAATTACTACTTTTTCCTTCTGTTTTTAAACAAACATGGGCTACTGTATAATCTTTAGACGGTCAACATATCTACCAGTCAGGGAAGGATATAACTATTTTTCTTCTTTCTCATTCTTGTGGCCACATGGCATCCTAAGAATAGCATATAATAAAACAAATCAATGGCTTCCCAAGAGGACTCAGATCGCCATGAAGTTTTCTGGACCATCACTGCTGGGGGATTCTGTCAGTAACCATGTAACATCCATGTAACATTTTTAGCAGCTGGGGACTACAACCCTTCTAGCAAAGAAAACTTTCTCAGGCACAAAAGGCAATATACAAACACGATTAAGCAGACACTTTTTTTCTATCTAAACTATTGTCCTCTTCACAAAGAGGTCAACTCTGATTCAAGTGATCAAAATGCTCGGAAGAGGAACTGTTTTGTGGAGCACAGAAACAGACACGTGCTAATGCTGGCTTTGCCCCTCTATTTCAAGGTGAAAATAAAAGGTTTCGTACTTCATTTCTGATGGCAACGTTCTCTCACATACGTTTAGGATCTTGGACTTGTTTCAGAAGAGAGAAAAGGAGGATATATAGGTAATATCGGGTAATAAAAAATTGGACTGGAAGCATCAGCTTATTTTATGTATCAGCAAAAACGTTAAGTCAAGATGTGATCCTAAAACCTTGATATGATAAAATCCATGTCCTTCTGCTAAAGTACTAAGTCACCCAGACCCACATATCCATTAAAGCTATAACAAATCCTTTACCGTACAACACCATGCTGTAAATCTAAATTCTAGAAGTCTGAACTCTCAGCCTCTCTCCCACTCTTTATGGCTCACTGAATTTCCTTTGCCTGTCCACCCATAAACAGAGCTTCACCTGGGTTAGATCCAGCTGGACCTCGGATCCAAAACCTTTAGAAGCCAGGTGGGCGACTTCTAAGACTTGTGATCAGGGAGACGAAGAGGCAGCAAAGGACACACTGTCTTCTCAAAGTCAACGCAGAACAGATTGTCAGGTTGACAAGACGAGCTGAAATGTCCTTTGCTGTCTATTTGTATTCATTGCTGTTCCAGGAACTAAGTGCCTAAAAACGAAATGACTTCTTTCTGGAAATGTGTTAATAAAGTATACAACTCATATGATTGTTTATTCACATAAGTTTGTGATTATTATAATACCTCTATATGTGACTTCATGTATGTTTTGCAGAGCAGACTGTTTTATGTTTTGGTAATTTCCCGTTTTATATCATTCAGATATGAAGGCACTTGCAAGGTTACTGGATGTACTTATTTTTAAAAATTAAAAACAATCCTGTTTTCATTTTTATATTGTTGTTCACCTGTGTATTTGACTGTAAATTCAGATTGAATAAAATGACCTCAAAATTTTATTATTATAAAGTTTTCTAAAAGGATTGCATAGTAAAGTATTTTATGAATACTAAATATGTTCATAAAAAACAACTAACATTTTTGAATAGCATGTAGTGAAAAATAAAGATGTCAATAATGAAGTACTACGTGACGAGATGACTCTTACTTACCAAATTCCTTGGGAACTGCTACAGCATAAACACAATTATGTCCCACACTGTAATTTTTTGGATAATTTGGTGATAGGACAGTGCCTTCTGAACCTGTTGAACGACTTCCACATGGTGCTAGAAAATAAAAATGATAAAACATTATTTTAGAAAACATATTAAAAATCATATTGAGACAGGCCAGGAAGCCAGGACACGTGGAACAGGGAAGCGAAGACAGAGCTGAACAAACTGACAGAGCAGTTTACAGTGGACACAGAAGGTCGCCTCCCTAGAGACACCATCTAGGTCTCAGTGGTATCTCAGCTCTAGGCTCAGAAAAGCAAAAAAACAGAACAGAAACAGTTGGGTGATGCCAGGACCAACTGCCATGACTAAAGACCCCCTGCCCCGACATGCATTAATCAGCAGAGACTAAGACTCCGAAAGAGCACACCTGGAAAACTGATGGATATTCTGCCGAAACCCTCCCATGAGAGCTTCTCTAAGAGTCCTGCCAGCAGGAGAGGAATAAAGCCCTCAAGACCAAGGATGAACCCTTCCCTCTCTTCTTCCCCCACTTCCTCCTGCACAGGCAGCATCTCCTAACCTCTAAGGGACCCCGTGAGACTTGCCACCAGGGGAGCATGGGCAGCGGTGGGTCTCCAGGGCTAATCCCCTGAACCTGTCTCCAAGGCCAACTTGTCTCTGGCTTCCCAGGGAGCCAACACAGCCCTACCTAAGTCTCTCCTGTTGCTTCTTCTATGCTAAGCCCTTCCTTGTTCCACTGTCCCCAGCTTCAATACATGTTCCCTCATAGTCACCTGGACCCATGTCGTGAAATCTTTCCTACATGAAGTCAAGAACCCACACACTACACTACCAGCCGGCCCTAGGAAGGTCTGCTCAGACCCAGGTCCCCTGTCCAGTAACAACATTATGACTATTTTCTTACTATAGAAATACGGCTACTAGATTTTAGGGTGTATCATGTATCTCCATATTTTAATGAAACCCCCCATTGTCAAGTATTTTAAAAATAAAAAATCGTGCACCAACGAAACATTTTAACATAAAGATTTACTCTACTCAGAAATAAAGTAATAGGATAATGTTGTAATAGTGCTAAGTAATAACGGTGGACCTGCTTTTACTTATGATAAAAGTGTTAACGGTCATCATCTCTTTTATAAGGATGATACATTACATATGCAAGTGAGAAATTGTTTCCCTGCCAGGCTTTGAAAATCTAATGACAATCAACCCTGATTAAGCTGTCACCAAATTAAGTATTTCTACACATGGTATAAAATGGCTACAAAAATACATTCATTCACTCATCTAAATAAAATATTGTGTCACCAACTTTTATCTGTTTTATGTTACCTTTAAATCAAAGGAGGTGCTGATGGTGTTTAGAGGCAGACTTTTGCTACCTCTGCCCCCAGGGTGCTGTGTTTCTAAAAAATATGAGGGTGAGACCAATGTTTCTGGCAAACTTGTAGATGATGGTTGGTTCTGTTGTTCACAGGATCTCAGAGAGAGACCTGAGCTTCTAAAAGAGATTTAGGAATCCAAAACCTAAGGAAGACAGTCAACACCCTTTAGGTAAATGATGTCACCAGGTACGTAGAATGAGAAAAGATGGCCAAAGAGGAGGTCTGGGGATTGCCTAGGTAGGATCAGAGAGAGGGTGGCTACTGAGAATTTTGTTTCTTGGGAGCCAAGGGAGAAGAGAGTTTCAATTAAAAGAGGGTTTAAAAAAGGTTAAGATTTGCAAAATGGTAATAAATGAGAAAGGAGGCTGAGAGTATTCGTCAGTCTGGAGTATCAGGGAGCAAGGAGCTGCTGGGTTTCCTTCAGGAAGGACCCTGCCTAGGCTTGCTGGCCCCGCCCCTGCGGAGATGGAAGGGGCATCCTGATTGGTGAGCTCAGGGTCTTCACTGACAGCTGGGAGCCCCTGCCTGCCCAGAGCAGTCCCCGCCTCCTCCTCTCCAGTAAGTATCTCAGGGGGAGTCTGCGGAGGGGTGGCCATGGCTGTTGCACCTGTCCGTGCACAGGACGCTCCTCACCTTTCCTCAATATTAGAATGGTGGTTTGATTTCCGCCAGCCTGTCTCTTAATTAGCTTTGAACCTGTGCAGGATTCCCCTCAAACCCCGAAAAGAAAATTTTGGGTGTTATGAATACAGTGGTTTCAACCAGAGCAGTCTCTCCCGTTACACCCAGCAAGCCAAATGCCAAGAGGAGTCTTCACATTTATCAAAGAATTGCACACAGAACAAATACTAAGAATGTGTGACAGAGACATGTGGCCAGCAAAGCCCAAAATGTCATTGGGTCCTTGACAGAAAAAGTGTGCTAACCCTTGAAAAAAGAGAGGTGGGGGCTAGGCTGTATTTGGATGAGGAGTAAGTGGTATGTAAAGAAATTCCAAAGTAATCAGAGTCTCCACCATAAACGGGAGAATGTGGGGGTAGTTAGGGGAAGATGCTAAGCTCAGTGAGTCTTTACGTTGTTTTGATGACAATGAGGAAGGAGTCCTCACAAGGGGACAATCCGGAGCGCTGTCCTGGAGGCTTGGAAAAGATGAGATTAACAATAAAAGCGGAGTGACTAGTTTTAGGAAGTATTACTGACACTCCTGTGTACCGTGAAAAGGGCTGAAGGAGACAGGGGTTGGGTTTATGCAGTCAATTTAATGGCCCGAGCCTGATCTGCCTCTTAATGAGGGCCAGATGGGGTGTGCTGTGTGGCCTGAGAATGGTCAAGATGTTTGAAAAAGAGAAAACTTTCTTGTTTTGTTTTTTGTTTTTTGAGTAGACTATGAATTTGACAGCTTAGATTCAGAGTTTCTTCCTTTTATTTGATTTCTGGCCAAAGTTCAAAATATAGCAATTTATTTAAACACACGCACACGACATATGTTGTATTGAATGGGTGGCTAATAAATGTTCTGCCTTTTTTTTTCCCCCTTTTAATGTTCCATTAAATGGTCATAAATAGTTAGACTTAAAGATACTAAAATTAGAACTCACTGGAATAACAACAAACTGACAGCGATGATAATAAGCAAAGATGCACTCATCACTCATGATTGTTTGAAATTAGTCAGGTGTATTCTCATTTCAGCACTGATAACTTTATTCAACTGATAATACTACTCACAAGAGACTCATTCAAGGATGAGAGGTATGTGTTATGGTTAACTTCCTTTCTGATTTTAAGGTGCTCCAAAGTTACAATACTTAATGTATGTGACAAAAGTCTTATTTTTAAATTTTGAAAATATAAATAGCAATGAGAACTTTTAACCAAAGTTTAGCTCAGCCATGAATAGTCTGCCATTCCACATTACTGTGAAGCTGACAGGTCAATGTGCTTTGTATGTTTTATTTTGCATAATTAGTATTTAGCTTTTGTTGCAAATATAATATATAAATATTAAAAAATGAAGGTTTTTATTCTAACCCACTGATGAGTATATATGAGGTTGCATATATTCACATGTCCTTACGGTGACTAATATTATGTCAGATTCTGTTATTTGTATTGGTAGCAATAATTTTATGTTTCATCTGGTCAGTGATAACAGCATGGCCTAATTTATAATCAATTATGCTGAATACTATTGTGACTGAAAATATTTTATACAGTATGTAAATATAATAAGGAAAATTATGCTGTGAGATATAGTTTTATTGTAATTTGTTTTCTATTTATTAATATCTGACTGAAATAATGACTAAGCCAGGCTAACTTGACTAATTCTTCTAATCTTGGTTCCTAAAAGCTTTTCATATTCTCTCTACCTATCTTAACGTCTTCTTATTGGCTAGTAGAGAAAAGGGTAGCTTTTATTGTTCTAGCTCTGTTAACCATCAATAGACGATAACAGGAAGCCAGGACTTTTAATTCTGTGTTTATTTTTGCCATCTGACGTATACATATGGGCCTTCTATTTCTCCAATTAGCCTTTATTATTGGGAGGCATTAAATGTAAGCACTCACTCCTTCCCAAGTATAAATTATGTGATAGTATGACTACCTTAAATCTACATCTTCCTATCATTTTTGTAGAACATATGAATTATTTGGGAAATCCAGGGATAAAGGAAAGAAGGTTCTTCACCATAGGGCTGCACGGAGACCTTGGTAGAGTTTGGGGATAGTGTGCTCTCCTTTACACACGGATTTGATCATGGAGTCTGTTTCAGGGGAACATCTTACAGGGACAGCTTCCCCAGAACACACTTTGCAAAATGCCAGATTGATGATTCCAAAATGTGCTATCACTTTGCAATAATTCTAACATTAATATTATATTAATTATGATTTATGCAGCACTACAGAACTATGTATTATGTATACATATAGAGCCAAAGTGTTTTAAAGATTTTAAATGGCAAAACTAGCCTATTATAAAATGTCATGATTGTTGATACTCTCTCCTTGACCTTCGGGGTCCGATACATCAGTGATTTGTTGCTCGCACCCTTATGTAGCGTATCAGCCTCTCTCCTGCCACTGTAGCTGCTACAATCCAGACTCCCAACAGCATCCACAAAACTCTTCCACTAGAAACCAGCTCTCCTCATCTCCACAGGTTCTTGCTGCTGCTAGTTATTTTCTAATGCACAAGCCCTGTGAACTCTTCTCTTCCGAGAAAAATTTTGACAAACAGTAGGTCCTCCTCGTAAATGTCACTTGGATGATTAAATGAACTATGCTTGCAAGACCAGGCTACTATAAAATGATGTTCCACAGTCAGCACATAATACAAACATTTCATTTGGTTAAAATTACCCCAGAAATGCACTTAAATCCTAGACAGAGTTGAGACCATTCCTCTCTTAATAAATCCATATAAATCTATTTTTTTCTTTCTGTGGTTAAAATCACCACTGTTTCTTTAATAACGAGGAATCACTGTTGCTTTACATTTTGAGGCAATACTATGTGAAAGATTATATATCTTAAATTGGACATGTATTCCATACAGTTTCTACAATATGAGAGCCACATGGAGACTGAGTTCCACTGCAGAAATAGCAAACAGCAAACTCATGGCCGCCCCTTCACAGATGCAGATCCCTGCTAACACGTACTCACTCTGCAATACTCCCTCACTGAGTAAGC